GTTACGTAAGTAATTTAAAATTTAAAAAACAGCTGATTACCGATAGTTAGTTACGTAAAATTTCTCCGTAAATCCTTTTCTCTGATTGGTTCATATTTTTCCCTAGAAATTCAAATTTAAAATTGAGAAGGTTTAATATTTAAGTAGCTACTCATTATTTTACAGAACTTTTAACCTCGAACTTAAAATTCGCGCTTTCTTTAGTTCTGGACTCAGGTGAACCTACCTCAGGTCATGCTACGAAAAAGTAGTAGAAGTATAAATTGAAGTCAAAAATTATAGAAATCCGATGTATAGAAATCGTTTTTGTAAAACATTGGAGATTATTGTCGTTATTTTTATTCTTTTAACATACATTAGACATTACATTAAGACACTATACAACTTACTGGATTTATATGTACATTTGTACTGATCTCTATTGTGGTTAAGGTCCCCCCAGATTTTATTATGTACTAACAACATGAATGCATGATTATATAATTACATAAAATTGTGTGTTACTATTAAAGGGAGTGACCGGCTATGTAAGGTAGTTGAACTGAGTATGCTGTGTTGTGGAAAGCTTCTTTCGGATTCATTTGAGACATATTAAACTTTTTAAAGATCTGTAAATCCTGAATTTGAGTGCAAATTCGATGTTCAAAACTCCTACTCCTACTCCTATTTAATTTCTCAAAAATATAAAAAATGTTCTCCCGGAAAATACGCCTTGTTGCTATACGTAACGATTTCTATACATTGAAGAAAGCAATGTTCGATTTACATCGTTACCCTTTACAGCTTTGTCTGATCAAGAGTTGTTTTTTTGTTTCTTTAACCAGTTTATTTTTATTTGCGGGTTCTCTGTAAACGTGATTTGCGCATTTCTTGCCTATAAGAAGTAAATAGAGAAAGTATCAAAATTAAAACATTTTCAAGTCAGAAAACCAACGTTTGATCAGAATAAGATTTCAAGGGTACCGTTGCCATCTTTGCATGGAGGGTCACTTGAAATTACGCTTACAGCCTCTTTAAGCTACGCGTGTTACGGCTGTTTCAAAACTAAGAACATTGTCAAAATTAAGAACATTGTGGGTCAAAATATCGAACATTTTGTTCAAAATTAAGAACATTCTGTTCAAAATTGCGAACAGAATGATAAAAATCTCAAAAAAATTTTAGATATACAAATCAGTCTGTTCCAAAATGTGTACAAAATCTAAATGTTTGGGAAGTTTAATATTTAAAAAAAAAATTAAGTTTATGCAATATGCATAGATTAATAACTCACTATATATTAATCATATTTCGCATATAGTTTTTATCCTAAGTAGCCAAGGGGCTGGCTTGAAAAATGTAAGTCATTAGGCACACTTTCCGCAGGCCTGCTTAATAGCCTAGCATATATACCTTGCAACTTTTTATACTGCGTTAATTAGAAATATATTTAACCAGTATATACTACATACACATATATAAGAACATTTACTTAAAGAGACTGTACACTGAATTTAAAGTGTCTCTTCATTTAAAAGACTGATATCCTGGATTCACAACGGTACCCATGAAGCCTTTATTTGAGAAACTAATCGTCGTTTTCTCATCTTAAAAAGCATCAAATTCTGTAAATTACACGTTTTTTGTCTCAACTTTGCTTCACGAAATCCGCAAGTATCGGGTTGTCCACAAAGGAAGAGACTTCAGAGACGACTTTATAGAATCTTTCAGTCTTAATTCTTGCACTCAGGGTTTATGTAGTTGTAAAATTGTTTCTTTCTAAACTGTATATTTTTTTATATAACATTAAATGACTTTATTAAAAACAGAAGACTAAATTTAACCACCCTAATATCCTATTATCCTATTATCCTATTATCCTATTATCCTATTATCACATTTTATAAGTCTAAAGTTGTCATTAAAGGCTCTTTCTGTGTGGATACTGAGTATCCTCGTTTCTTAGCAGAAACCCCATAAATATATCAATTCTCATTTTTCAGAATTTAAAAACGAGGCAACGTTTTGAAGGGTCGCTGAAAATTATGTCCCTGCAAACGGGGGTGCTGAACCCCCGACCCCCTCCTCCTTTTTTTATCCACATTGTTAGGAAGAATTTAAAACCTCGATTTAGTAATTACGGGTTTTGTTTACCAAATTTTGAACAAAATTACAAAAACATCTCAAACGGTTTTTAATGCTGCGAAAAACCGTTTGATATTTTTAAGACTAATTTTTTTTCTAACCTTGACAGCCAAGACTTTTACCTTTAGAAGTAGATTGATTAAGTCTCCTTTAAGCCTTAATAAGGATTATAGTTTTGCTTCCTTTTGGACATATGAATGTAATTATATTGTTTTTTCTACACATGGCCTCAAAGGTTTGTGTATTTGATAAATTATATATTTTTGTTATGCATACTTACTTACCCTAATTGAGGACAGCTCCTACCTACCTAACTCGCCCNTATTACTTAAGGTCGAGCTCTCTTAAATTAATACTCAAGGTCTAAATCAATATGGAATGTAAAACAATTTGACCTTTTTATAAATTCATGTATTTCATTTCAAGTATAGTTTATGTAGCAAGGATCCCCGCTCACCCCTCCCAACAATTATCAATTAATAATTTAAACATTATTGATTAGGCATAACCTTATAACCTCGAAACTGAAAAATTGGAAAATGGGGTTTAAAAGAAGTTATTTTAACCAATTCATTTAAAGGGGGGTTTGTACCCGATTAACAATGATTTGTCCAGGATCAAATATGAATTATTACCTTTTTCTAAAACTGTTTATTTTTGAATGAGGTTTCTCTCTTAAAGAGACTTTCTTGCTTAAGAAACAATGTAGAAATAAGCAGAATTAAATGCATGTCAAGCCAGGAAAACTAAGCTATCTTCCACAGTATTGATCAGATAAGGTTTCAAGCCAGGAAAACTAAACTATCTACCACAGTATTGATCAGATAAAGTTTCAAGTCAGGAAAACTAAGCTATCTACCACAGTATTGATCAGATAAAGGTTTCAAGCCAGGAAAACTAAACTATCTACCACAGTATTGATCAGATAAAGGTTTTTAGCCAGGAAAGCTAAGCTATCTATTACAGTATTGATCAGATAAAGGTTGTAAGTCAGGAAAACTTAGCTATCTACCAGAGTATTGATCAGATAAAGGTTTCAAGCCAGGAAAACTAAACTATCTACCACAGTATTGATCAGATAAAGGTTTCAAGCCAGGAAAACTAAGCTATCTTCCACAGTATTGATCAGATATAGGTTTCAAGCGAGGAAAGCTAAACTATCTACCACAGTATTAATCAGATATAGGTTTCAAGCCAGGAAAACTAAACTATCTACCACAGTATTGATCAGATAAAGGTTTCAAGCCAGGAAAACTAAGCTATCTACCACAGTATTGATCAGATAAATGTTTCAAGCCAGGAAAACTAAACTATCTACCAGAGTATTGATCAGATAAAGGTTTCAAGCCAGGAAAACTAAACTATCTACACAGTATTGATCAGATATAGGTTTTAAGCCAGGAAAACTAAGCTATCTACCACAGTATTTATTAGATAAATGTTTTAAGGCGCAGTTTTTAATCGGACATGCTATCTATCTATGAATCTATATTAAACAAAAAAGTGGCCTGTACGATTAACAGCAGTTAATTTTAATCCTCTAGTTGTGTAACAATTATAATATTATCTTAATCTAAAATTGAAAACGTGAATGAGACATGCCATTTTCATTTTTTTTAAATGGTGGTTTACTTCGAAATTATAACTGCTGTCTCTTCAAACATGATTTGTTCGATGACTTGGCAAAAATAGTCTTGTTTTTAATTTAAATTTTTCAAGGTTGATAAACTTCAATAAAGCAATAACAATAGCAACCTGACTCATGAAACCCTAATTAGACATGAAACAAAAAAAATGTTTTTTCACATTATTTATTAAATGTTTTATAATTTAGCAAAACAATTGTATTAATATTAAATAGCTAAATTTGACAAATTTTTTGAAGGCACATTTTTTATTTAATACTCTAATATCGACACACTAAATACATTTACAAACGATGGGGGAGCGGGAGAGTTACAAATCAAAGTTACTTAACGCTATTATTCCTAATCCCCATATCTTTGCAACCTGATATTGTAGACCTTTGATATTTCAAACTATGATCGAATTCAGTTTGGTCAAACAACTTAAGTTTTAAATATGCAAGGTTCACACAGTCAGGCTACACAGATATAAAGATTGAAGAATTAGAGTTCGTGGCGAGTTCCTTTTACCTTTTCGCAACGAGAAAAAATGTGTGGCATCTTAAATTAAATTCACGTTTTTTTCCATGTAGATGCATTAAATATAACATTAACAACAACTGTGTTTGAGCTTAATTACCAAGTTAAAACATAATGGTCGTTTCATTTAATGTTTATATTTAATGTCGTCATCAAAATTTTATACCTTTTTGGAAACTCCAATATCAGAATAGCACTCTTGTATGCAATGAAAATAATATTAAATTATGTAATTTGATATTTTCAAATTTTCTTTGGTCTAATCTTCTTTGGTTTTATTTGTTTTCCAGAATTTTTATTTTTAAACCATTCAAAGGAATTTAGTCTTTGGCACAAACTTACATTTTTCAATCTCTATATCTTTGCAACCTGGAGGAGAAAACCTTAATTATTTAAATTATTTCAAAAATTGATTATTGGTTTCACAGAATTCATATCTAATGTCTACAAAATTTGGATGCAAAGATATGGGGATTAGTAAATCAGAGTTTGTGTTTGAGTCAATCCAAGTACGAAAGGTTGTAAAAGGACATTTTTAAAGGAGCAACCAAAAATTAGAATAAAATAGATTTGGGATTGTTTTGAATCATTGGGTATTTAACAATCAACCCAATGGACACTAATGTTTTTGTGTTCCTTTTTATACTGGGGCAAGGTATTTATTCGTGTAGAAATATTCTGGCCCAAAAAAAATGGTTGAACAACAAAAAAGCTTGATTTCTCTTTCATTATTTTTCATGTTAAAATATGTTTGCCAAAAAAATTATTGCTTTCACACTATGAAGGCCTGGGCTTTCCCGTCCACTATCTTTTTTCCTTTTGATATTGGTGGTAGCTTGGAAAATGAACTGTTTAAATCCTGAAACATTTTTTCATTTTGATAAGTTGTCAAATAAATCAATACAGTGAAGACGACTTTATATCTCAATTTTTTATTTCTACCAAGCGCGCTTAGGGTACACATAAAAAAAGAAAGAGAAACGGTGTATTAGCAGATTCCTTTAATGTTGACTGTAAACGTGTAATTTGAAAAAAGAATGTTAGAAAGCAAAACTTAAATGTAAAAATCGTCGTGATTGTATTGATATAAATGCCGACCACTGTATTGTAAAGGATCATCAGCTCACTTGATCAATTAAAAAAACACAATAAAAGTTTACTTATTTTGAAAATTTTTTCAATATTCAAAAATGTGTTTATGAAAAGTTTCTTATTGTAACCCTCTGAACAAATTTTTGAAATTAGAAAACTCCGCTAAGTGCAAATTTTTAATATTTTAAGTGTACTCGGATAAAGCAGTTTTAAGCCTGTACAATACGTTTTGCGTCCATAAAGCTAATATCTTTTGTCAGAGGAAATTTAAAAAAAACAAATGAAAAACGTCCCACTTTTTATATTTTTGCTTTGTATGAAACTTATCTAATGTTTTAAAAAAACGTAACGAAACGTACAATGAAAGTTGGATCAACATATTCTCAAGATAATAAATGTTTTCCTAGATGGGGTTTTTCCTGAATTTTAACTTAGAAAGAAATATTTGTACTCTTGATTCAGACATAATAAACATTTTACTATCCCATTAACTTTATATTTGAAAACTACAGTAGAAACCATGTGTCTTTGGAATAGAAGGACGACATTTAATGGATATTTTAGTATTTAATGCTGTTCTAATAATCTGTCAGTAGCTTGAAAATCTTAAAGTGAAATGAGGTTGTGTGTACTGTGTACTGCACAATTGCTGCGTCTCATGTTCGTTACACTTGCTAATTCAAGTGATAACTTGAGTCGTCTTCATATTCAAAATTTGCATTGGTCCCGCTAGACCGCGTTGGAAATATTCTTCTCGTCTGTAATAATGTTTTAAAAATGTTAGAAATTAAAAAAAATGTTTTCCTTAATTTGTTGCCTCCAATCTCCACTATCCCATATCTCCTTCTCTCCGTCCATCAACACCTTATCCTAGATATTTTTCACTTTTACTTTATATTTAAAATTGACACGTCTGATTCACCGTTCCGTTAACGAAAAGGAGGTTTTCGAAAATTAGCAGAAGAATCCATTAACGAAGGGCATAAACCGTTAATATTTAAACCGTTACCGAAACTGATTAGCCGTTTCTGAAAAAACGGTTGAAATCGAAAACGAAACGATTTTTTTAAACGATTATTTCTTTTTTTCGTTTTTTTCTGCTTAAATTCCATTAAACTTAAAAAACAAACAAAAAAATTACGTGTGTTGATGCTTTAAAATGTCGTCTGTGTTCATAATGTTAAAGATGAAAATAGAGAATAGAGGTAACCTTTGAATTTTGATAAATAAAATTGGAGTTTGTCCAGTCGTAAAATTAGCTGGGTTCTCCTCAGAATAAGATAAATATAGTTGATTTGGATATATAGAAAAGGGTAAATACAGTTCAACTACTAGTGCCGTTAACGATTTTACACGCCGTTAATGCTGTTAATACTACAAAAGACTGTTAACGGTTGAACTGCTAACGATTTTATAACCGTTAACAAATTTTGTTGCCGGTTCGCACCGTTAATACTGAAATAGAACAATAACGGCTGTGCCATTGACAATTTTTTAACAGTGAACGAATTTGTTCACTGTTATAATATGTTCTAATAATGTAATAGACCGTTCCCGAGTGGAGCTGTTGGCGATTGTTGAAAATTTTCCGTTAACGTTGTTAATTAAGATGATATCGTTAACTAACAGTAATTAAAAAAATGCAGTTAACAAAACAAATGTTACGTGTAACTTGCCTTTAAAATTAACGGCTCCCTGAAATTTTAATTTTTTACGGATGGAACTTACTGTTAACGAAACGGTTAGAAAAGATTACTTAGCTAGAGATTTAAAGGCTTGTGTAACCAAAAATGAATGAGATATCATTGTTTTTAACTTTTGTATCAGTGTGCATCATTGTGTTGTGATTTGTAGATGTCTGCTTAATAGACCATCAAAGAAATTCTCAGATTTGTTTTATAAGATTTTAAACGACAATATCTTTCTCATTCTTGCTTAGATAAAGGTTTTAAAAAGTTCCGTTGGAAATTTTATTGATTATTATGAAATCTTTATTTATTGATACAGGGAGATAAATTTACTTGAATTTTAGAGAAATAGAAATTAAGTTATTTATGTCTGTTACGTTGACTCTTCTTCATCAGATAAAATATTTAAAGTGAGACCCGTTAAAAATTGGAACAAGAAGACCACTGTTAGGTTCAAGTTGTGATGATAAATAGTCAAATAACTAAACATGAAACACAGTAATTGTGCAGTGTAAGCAGATACATTTAGGGTTGTTAATCGTTTTTTTGTTTCGTTTTTTTGTTTCGTTTTTTAATCGTTTTCAAAAACAATCGTTTCGTTTTCGGAAAAAACGATGATCGTTAAAAAACAGCCATTTTTTTAAAAAACGAACTTTTTAAATGAACTATCATTTTTTAAAAAGATTGTTTCGTTATCCATTTTTCGTCAAAAAGATCGTTTTTTTAAATCCCTAGGTACATTTAACTTAATAAGTTGATTTTCATAGTACTGATAAAACGATTAGCTTTGGAGCAATATCTAATACATAAAAGATTGCTTAAGCGTAATATTTTTTCTCCACAGTTAGTTGTATGGGTCTCACTTTGTGATAAAAAGCAGTTTTTTATTGTGTTTGTTTTTACCTTTAATGCATCAGGATTGTCTTGCTCTTTCACTTCTCTTCTTTTTTCAGAAATTGCTTTTCTAAAAAAATAAATTTTTCACAAAAAAACTCCATTTTAAATAGCTTTTAAATTTTTATTATTTTTGAGGCGTTATTTCACCCATTATTGACCCAAAACCACAACAATATCTTTGTTTGAGAAAAAAGTGTCCTTGCTTTTTATCCAAAAAGTGAAATTTATTGCGAATTTTTGCAGAAAACGACAATATTTGCTTATTTTTACTCAGATTAAAATTTAAAGATATTCTAGATGGTTATATTGAGAGTTTAACGTTAAAAGTTGAAGAAATCAATAAAAATATTTCTAAAATGAAAAAATTAATTAAGTCACCTGAGAGAAACTTTTCTTTGTTCCTTGGGATCAAGTTGACTAACATTTGGCGCGCTTCCAGACAAGCTCACTCTAATACCGTGCGCGCAATCTTTTTAACGTTACAAAAAAGCTTTATTTGTTTTATGCCAGGTTTGTCCTATTTTGGTCGTTTAGAAACGAATAATGATTATTTTTTTTTAAATAGAAATATATAAAAAAGGCAAAGCTAAGTAAAAAATGTGAAAATTGTTTTTTAAAATCTTTAAAAAGTTGTTTAATCAGAATTTAGTTTGAGAACTTTTGAAAAGTTACAATTTCATGGCACAATTAATCAAAAATTTAAAAAATTTCATTTAGAAAAATGGTCTGATATTTCTTATTAAATGTTTGATAAAATTGAAAAAGAAGTATTTTTGTCTGTTATTTCTTAATTGCGCAGTGGTTCCTTCTGCGCATGTCTATTTGATTTTTTCCAACACGCTCCAGAAAAAGTTTGTCTGTTCTAGAAACAGGAGGCCCAGCTGGGAGAGATTTTACAGAATCACTAGAATGATAACAATAATAAAAATAATTATAATAATAATAATAATAATAATATTAATAATAATAATAATAATAATAATAATAATAATAACAATAATAATAATAATAATAACTGTAACAGTAATAATAATCTTTAATATAAATTCTTGGTACATCTTCTACTATTTACTTTTATTGTCTTAGTGTCTATCTGTCCGTTTGTTGTGATGTTTGTATCCATAAACGACTGAACCTATCGAGCCCAACATTTTATGGCAAATTGCACATGTTTTTTTTTAAACCTGGCCAACGCCATCCATATTCTTCTTAGTAATAATTATAAAGATAAAAATATTTAAATTAAACGATAAAATTAAAATTAACAATAATACAGGTTATTTTTTAAAAGTTATAACTTCGAAAAACTAGTTTTAACAGTGCATACATTTCAATTATAGAAAACATGAATTGAAAATATCTTTATAAAAATAATATTGTTAAGGGCTAATAAAAACTCAATCAAACCTCAAATTGTAAATAAATATCAATTATTATATTTATATATAGAAGTTAAGAGGGCTAATTCTGTTTATAGTTATAAACTTTTCATGAAACATGTTTCATGTTTAGGATTTTTTTTTGTAATTTGAACAAGAAAATTGGAAGAAAAATTGTATACAAAGAAAACATCATTGAAATTCTATCGCAGGCCCCTTTTAATATTTCATAAAACACATCAAGTTTTTTTTGCCTATGGGGACTTCAAAATCTTCTTAATCTTTTTATTCGAGACCTAAAACTTTCATAGAAGACCCTAACATTTGTACTTAGACCATTAAATTTCCATCGGAGACCCCTACACTATAATTTTGATCGGAGACAACAAGCTCTCCATTATGATAGTTAAACCAATTATGTTTGAGTGGTCTCCAATGATATTTGGGTGGTGTCCAATGAAAATTGAATGATATTTAATTATGTTTTGTGATCTCCAATTATATTGTATGGTCTCAAATGATGTTAGGTGGTCTTCAAGGATATGTTGATCTTCAAAGATAGTAGGTGGTCTTTAATGATGTGGTCTACATATGATATTGTGTGATCTACAATGATATGTGTGTGGTCTTCAATGATATTATGTGGTCTCCAATGATATTATGTGGTCTCCAATGATATTACGTGGTCTATAATGATATGTGTGTGGTCTTCAATGATATTATTTGGTTTCAAATGATATTATGTGGTCTCCATTAATATTGTGTGGTGTCCAATGATATGTGTATGGTCTCCAATGATATTTGCGTAGTCTCCAATGATATTAAGTGGTCTCCAATGATATTGTGTGGTCTCCAATAATATTGTGTGGTCTCCAATGATATTTTTGTGGCCTCCAATGATATTGTGTGGTCTCAAATGATATTTGTGTGGTCTCCAATAATATTGTGTGGTCTCCAATGATATTGTGTGGTGTCAAATGATATTTGTTTGGCCTCCAATGTTATTTGTGTGGTCTAAAATGATATTGTGTGGTCTCAAATGATATTTGTGTGGTCTCAAATGATATTTGTGTGGTCTCCAATGATATTTGTGTGGTCTCCAATGATGAGCTAAGTTCTACAATAATAAACTAATTTTTTTATTTAACTTAGGGGTTCAATGAAAATCTGGATTTCTCCGATGGATGGAAATCCTATAGTACCCAAATAATGATGATTTCATACTTATTAAGAAAGAAAAAATAGGTTTTAATTTTTAAGGATGCAGCTGAATAAGGTACAAAATAGTGAATAAACATATAGAAAAATAGATATGTAATGGGAACAATTATAATTCAGAAAACAATTTCAGGGTAAATATTACTCGCTTTATTCAAAACATTATTAAAAAATTACCTCAAATTTGTAAAGTTCTGAAAGGCAGTTTCGTTTTCTGTGCAGGCCATTGTAAAAATGTTTTTTAAGATAAAGATTTAACTTTCACTGATTTCACTTATTTCCTAAGCATTGACAGTTTTTGAAAAATCATTTTAAAGTTTTATCTGAAAAAAATGTTTCAAATACACTGACAGCATTTCTTCTATCCTAGCTGTAATAAATAAAGCAGTAATGTATGTTGATGCTTAAATATGCCTGCAGGAACTTTTCTATCTATCAAGTATCGTTCATCTTGAACGCTTATTCTCGATATCTAATGTGGACACTTTGAAATCTGGGGGATCAAAGCTTAAACCCTGAATTAAAGTTATCCTGCAGGGTATGACCATCAGGGGATATTAAAGATGAATAAAATCAATCTATAGGTCTGGTCTGCATAACTCATAAGATGGAGATCAATATTTAATCCTGAGATTAACAACTCAAAAGTTCTAACTTTAGGTCAATTTCAGTTGGTGACTAGGTGACTCAAGTAATGGCTTGAACTTAAAGAACATAAAATGCAATTGTGCAGTTGAACCAGACCCATTTTACTTTATATTTTGGGTTTGTAACCTGTAAAACCTATTTTACTTTATAAATTGGGTTTGTAACAGGTAAAAATCCATTTTACTTTATAAATTGGGTTTGTAACCAGTAAAAATCCATTTTATTTTATAAATTGGGTTTGCAACTGGTAAAACCCATTTTACTTTATAAATTGGGTTTGTAACAGGTAAACCCCATTTTACTTTATAAATTGGGTTTGCAACTGGTAAAACCCATTTTACTTTATAAATTGGGTTTATAACTGGTAAAACCCATTTTACTTTATAAATTGGAATTGTAACCAGTAAACCCCATTTTACATTATAAATTGGGTTTGTAACTGGTAAACCCCATTTTAATTTATAAATTGGGTTTGTAACCGGTAAAACCCATTTTACTTTATAAATTGGGTTTGTAACTGGTAACACCCATTTTGCTTTATAAATTGGGTTTGTAAATGGTAAAACCCATTTTACTTTATAAATTGGGTATGTAACCGGTAAACCCAATTTACTTTATAAATTGGGTTTGTAACCGGTAAAACCAATTTTACTTCATAGTTTGGGTTTGTAACTGGTAAAACCCATTTTACTTTATAAATTGGGTTTGTAACCGGTAAAACCCATTTTACTTTAAAAATTGGGTTTGTAACCAGCAAAAATCCATTTTACTTTATAAATTGGGTATGGTATGGGCAAAACCCATTTTACTTAATAAATTGGGTTTGTAACCGGTAAAACCCATTTTACTTTAAAAATTGGGTTTGTAACCAGTAAAAATCCGTTTTACTTTATAAATTGGGTTTGCAACTGGTAGGTAAACCCATTTTACTTTATAAATTGGGTTTGTAACTGGTAAACCCATTTTACTTTATAAATTGGGTATGTAACCGGTAAACCCAATTTACTTTATAAATTGGGTTTGTAACCGGTAAAACCAATTTTACTTCATAGTTTGGGTTTGTAACTGGTAAAACCCATTTTACTTTATAAATTGGGTTTGTAACCGGTAAAACCCATTTTACTTAATAAAATGGTTTGTAACAGGTAAACCCATTTTACTTTATAAATTGGGTATGTAACTGGTAAACCCATTTTACTTTATAAATTGGGTTTGTAACTGGTAAACCCCATTTTACTTTATAGATTGGGTTTGTAACTGGTAAAATTGTATTGTATAACATTATCGAATACTCATATAATATGGATAAACATCGTTATACTATATTCCATTTTTTCACGGGGCTTACTTTAAAACCACTATTTTAAAGAAAATCCGCGTAAAATATTTTATAACCTTATACGTAATATAGTGTATGGTGTATGGATAGTGGGTATTTTATTAGATAATTTGAATTTACATGGCTGCGAAAAGATAAAAAAAAAAGATTTCAAACTCCATCAGAGGACTGAATGCGTAATTTCTAGTGATCCTCCAATCTCCATATGCAAAGCTGGTAATGCCAGATTCTAAATGGTACCCTGCAGATATACAGTCTGATCAATGATTAATTATGAATTAAATGAACGGATTGGCTCAGTAACATTTTGCCTAGTACAAGTTCGCCTAGTACACTTTCGCCTAGTACATGTTCGCCTACTAACCTTTTGCCTAGATAACATTTCGCCTAGATAACATTTTGCCTAAACACAGTTTGCCTAGACAACATTTCGCCTAGATAACATTTTGCCTAGATAACATTAGAAGGTAAATTTCGCCTAGATAAATTCACTAAAATTTATAAAGTTCCTCTTTTTTCTCAAGAAATTCAATAAAAAGCAAAACAATGTATTATAATAATGTTTACAAATTTTTTCTTAAAGGGCACTAGCTGTTTGAACAGCGCCAATTATAAACTTTCTGACTACCAGGTCCATTGGAGACATATGAGAAATGTTGATTATCAATTTTGGCTGGTCTGCCTCGTTTGGTTTTCCCAGCCTGAATTAAGGACGTCATGTCGACATCAATGTCAGTAGAAAACTGAATGATTTAAACTACAAAAAAAAAATTGTGAAATTTTTACAGTAAAAATTGCGTATTTTTTGGTTCCAAAAGCTGGTTAATTTTAAAAATGTTAATCTAGGCGAAAATTACTCTCTAATGTTATCTAGGCAAAATGTTATCTAGGCGAAATGTTGTCTAGGCAAAATGTTATCTAGGCAAAATGTTATCTAGGCAAAATGTTATCTAGGCGAACTTGAACTAGGCGAAAGTGTACTAGGCGAACTTGTACTAGGCGAACTTGTACTAGGCAAAATGTTACTGAGCCAACGGATTATTTTCAATTATGGGTTTTCTACAGAAGTGGCTTGCGCATTTCTACTGCAAGAAAAAATCAAGCAAATATCAGAATAAAACACTTTTAATCCTGGAAAACCGACAATATCTTCCACATTATTGATTGCAGATAAAGTTTTCTAGGGAACCATTGTAAATCTGGAATTGGCATTTTTGAATGGATAGGAAATTATGCATACAGTTTTTTCAATAGGAGAATTATATTCCAATAAATGGATCCGGAATAATGAAATATATTCCAATAAATGGATCCGGAATAATGAATTATATTCTAATAAATGGATCCGGAATAATAAATTATATTCCAATAAATGGATCCGGAACTATAATAGTGTTTTAAATTTTTTGCAACCGTTTCTGCTCAATCTGCAAAGTCTATTTCTCAAACTAAAATTCCGACAGAACAATGAGTGGTCCCCATGTGTAGGAGTCTGGCAAGAAATTATCATCATTGGGGTAATATTGGAGACGTCTCATTGGAGACCTCCAGATTTCATTGGAGACCCCTTGATTTACGTTGGAGGCCCCCTAGATTTTCAGTGGAGACAACTAGATGGGGGTCGCCAATAAAAATTGGGAATTAAAAAAGAAATTTGGGGGCTTAAAACAAAATGTTAGGGGTCTGAAATGAAAATCTTGGGGTCTCCATTCTCCAATGCAAATTGGGAGTTTAAAACGAAACGTTTGGGGTCTACAATTAAAATCATTCGGGTCTCCAATAGTACTCCCATGATGATGATTTCTCTTCTGAGACTCCCCATGAAACTATCACAACCACAAATAGGAAAAAAAGTATCTGTCAAAAACGGGTGAAGCAAGAAAATAGTGTAGCGTACTGTGTCTACATTCGATATAGACTAAAGAATGTGTGTATATATATTGGGATGGAAACGAAGGTTGGAAAGCCTGGATATTTTGATATATAGATATATATAAATATATATCTATATATTTATATAATGAATATATGAGAACCAGGCATAAATCCGCGAAAGTATACGGCATTGCTGATACAGTGAACACACAAACCAGCCTCGGGACAAATCTTATTAATTTGTAATCAATAATTTAATAATGTGCAATGTGCAGCCTTTGTGCTAATGTAGGTCAAAATTGAAAACATTTAAAGCAGTAAAACAAAAAAAGTTTTTAAAACCAAAGCAACCAGTGGTTCTTGCTACAAACCCTGATTTGCTAATCCACTTAAAGAGAGTGACCGGCAATGTATGGAAGTTGACCTGAGAATTTTCGCGAAATGATTTACCCTTTCGGCTAGAAACCCTACTGTTAACCCAAAATGTAAAAAGTAATAAAAACTAACTCACACTGGACTAACCAGGACGAACAAAATTTAGTTCCATCTTTTTTTTTAATTCAAACGCGTGTTGGTCTATAATTCAACAACCTTAAAACTCAAGAAGTTATACTTAAATAATAATTAAAACCCATTGGCGTCAAAAAAAAAGTAAAAATGAGAAAAGGCTTGCTGAGATAAGAACCGAACTGTTAGATCCGCGTGATATCGCAGCTCTATAATGCATACAATTTTTAATTACGTGTACACTAAAGTGTAGATATGATCATACGGGAGAATAATTTTTCTTGTTTATACGCCATTAATATTTTTCAAGATTCCAATTGTTATTTTTCGTTCATATCAATTTGGAAAATAAGATTTATGCATGGGCCGGGAATATATGAAAATATCGAAAAAATCTAAATATCAATTGGACCATGATCCAAATATAAATCAATTGTATTATAGCATTTAAGAAACGAAGTAGGTTGTATCTAAAAATGTATGACAACTACAGTGGTAATTGGTAAGCCATCTTTTAAACACAATAACGACGACTTTTTTATTTAAGTTTTGATTGTTTTACAAGTTACAAGTTTACAAATAATCTAAGAGAAGCTTTTTTATTGACAGCTTCTCTCTATTTCCCTGTTTATTTGTATCCATTCAAAGCTTAATATACAGAGCGTTCCATATCATATAATCTCAAAGCTTTAACGCAAAAATACGAAATTTGTATGGCACTTTGCGCTGTGAACCCCATTAATTTTGTAATAACCGTAACATTAAAAACGCCGTTAATAAAAATGAGATCGTTAAATAATGGTAATTTAAAAAAAACGGAATATGTGGTTACCGGAACAAACGTTCCGTTCTTACCTTTAAAATGAACAGCTAACTGAATTTTTTATTTTTAACGGTTGGAACTAACTGGTAACAAACGGCTAGAAAAAGTTAGAACATGCCCAGCCCTACCTCCTACCTCCTAAAATCC